AGCTGTGTAGTTACTTGCCCCCGTCAACTCCGAATTCGGGCCGAGCATCTACCCATCAGAAGGGTCTTCAGCCTAAGAGCCCCGATTGTATTTGAGCCCTTCCAACTGGCTGGGTGGCAGGTCAGCAGGTCATCACAACTTGGTGGCTCCCAGCCATCTCCTTAGCTTTCTTGCCTTCTGGTGCTTGTTGGTAGTTTCCGTTTCACCCACTAAGAGTTAGCCACTCATCTCCTTAGCTTTCTTGCCTTTTGGTGTTTATTGGTAGTTTCCATATCACCCACCAAAAGTTAGCCACTTTTAGCGGATCAGAAAACGGGCGGCCCAGCCAAGCGGCTGGATCGGGGTAGGCCAAAGATCTGCTGAAGAGCCCCCGCATCGTGGCGGCGGCTTCTGGCGCGTTCCAGCGGGTCATGGTGCAGGCCGGAGGGAGCTGGCAGGGCAACCAGTGGGTCATAGTGTGGGTGGATGCGAAATCCATTTCGCAGCTAAGAGGTCCTAGAATGGTGATTCTCCCTGTGAATACCAACAAACAACAAACGATGGTGTTTCAAAGCGGTGCAGGATTATTATCCATCCACAGTGTCCCACCTCTGATTTATTCTGAGTGGACAGCAAGCCGGGCTTTGGATAAGCCAAGTGGCTAACCACTGACTAACCTGGCGGAACATCCCAGCAATGCACCTGGCAGCCTCTCTTGAGCCCAGAACCCCAGAGAGCCCCCCCCTGTTCGCCGGGAGGAGCGGAAAAAAGCCAGGGCCAAGCATGCTGGTTGAGGATTGCGAAGGCTCGAGTCTAGCCTTAAGGGCTCAGAGTCTTGAGCTTGATCGTCGCCAGTCAATGTGGAGTCGACAGAAAAACGAGGCTCCAACTAAGAAAGGTCGGAGTGGTGCTTCCTTTGGTTTTCCTTTGGTTTTCCTTTGGTTTTCCTTTGGTTTTCCTTTGGTTTTCCTGGGGGTTCCTCATATTTCCGTATATTCCCTTGGGTTTCCGGGGCGTCGGCATTTTTGGCTTCGGCAGCTCGATTCGCCAGGCAAACTGGCTGCACCAATCCTTGCCCAAGGAACGCAGCCAGATGGCCAGGGCCCTCGGCTCCATCCGGTTCTTTGGGCTGGTTTCGGGGGGGTTTTTAGGTGGCCCAAGGTTGTTTGTTTTATGTTTGTTTTCCATTTTTTTCATTTTTTTTGATTTTGCGGGGGGGGGGGGGGGGAGGGCGTGTTTGGGTGGCCCATGTTTGTTGGTGCTTTTTGTTGTTTTTTTGGGGGGGAGGTGGGGTTAGGTGGCCCATTGTTTTTGTTTTTTTTCCTCAGGTGGGGTTTTGTTGGTTGCACAGAAATTCTCAGCATGATTTTGCCTTGGAACTCAAACCGCCATTGAAACCATACCACCATGGTTTGCCTACGGGTTATCATCCAATAATTGGGTCTACCCTTCTCTTAATGGGGCCCGCTAGGTCCCCGAGTAGTGCCCTTTACCCTTTTTTAAGGGACGGCCCCTACTAAAATCTACTAAAATAGACTACAGAACAAGTTGGTACCCTTACTCTAACCTCTCTACTGGAGGACCTGGGGGGGTTGTTTTCTAGGGACCTGCGACAGGCGCAAGCTTGTGCCCGGATCCACTCTCGCGCGACCTGGGCGCGACCTGGGGCATTGGGCTGCACCCACTCCAACTTGTTCTTCCGCCCCCCCCCCCCAAAAAAAAAAGGCTGGTGTCCTTTGGGTTTCCCTTTAAGCGCACAAAAGAGGGGTTCACCTTCACTGAAAGACGCGCCGGTGAAAAGCTGATTGGGTCGATCCCCAATCAAGAAGCTGGTTTTTCGGGATGGAGACAAAGTTCCGAAGCTCCTGAGGTCCATTTCTCCGGAGCGTTTTCGGGAGCTTCCATCGAGCAGAATCCTTTGTGAGGTTCTGCCCCTATGGGCCCGGGGTCAAGCCCAGTATTGTGACTCCGGCTATGTCTTGTTTACGATGTCCCAACACCGTACCCCCAATGAAAGTTTAAGCATCATCTCAACATACGCCCTAAAACGCGTCTCGCTTGTCCCGGCTTTTCCTCAGTTTTTGGGTTCGAGCCAAGAAGGGACCGCCTGGTGTTGCGCGTGCAAAAAACACGTGCCACGCGCGTTTTGGGCACAAACCCACGCGCGGGTTTGGTGCAGTTGGTGGGTAAAACCCACCAAAACTCCACGGGTCTCAGGTGGCCAAGAGCACGCAGCAGGCCTTCGAGCAGCTGCGCCGGGCGCCTGACTTGGGATCTTTTTGGTTCAGGAGGTGAGCAAAACTTGTTGTGGCTGGGCGAACCCGTCGATGCCAGAGCCGACCCCAAACCCGTTGACGCGGGAGCCCCAAACCTATTGGTTTCGTTGGGCTGTTGCTTTTGCTGGGCTGTTGACCCAGCCATCCGGTTCCTTGGCTTTTTAGATCCTTTTGGTGTTTGGTGACTAGTGGTAGTTTCCGTTTAACCCACTAACAGTTAGTCACTCTTAGCCCGGGCTCAGAAAACGGGCAGCCCAGAAAAGAGGCGCCAAGAGGGAGGAACAGGACCAGGATTCGGGATTTTCTTGGGTCCCTCCAGGTTTCTGAACCAGATTTGGGTTGAAAACAACTTGCGATCTGTGCAGAGGAAAAGGAGGATTCAGGAGTCATCCTTTCTGAACCCACAGATTTGGGTCTTCTTTTTTGGAGTGACATAGGTAGAGAGTGAGGATTCAGGGACCCTCCATGTTTCCGAACACAGATTTCGGCTGTCAGACTTTTGTTTGTGACATTGGCCGGAGGAGCTGTGGCAGGTTTTTCGGCAGCCTCGCACCAGCGGCCGGAACCGACACCACACTGGTTTGATGTTCGGACAGAGCGCCTTGCTGGGCGGCCTGAGCCCAGCTTGCCTTGCTGAAGCGGCCACGCCTTCATGTGCTTAAAATCAGGGTTGTGGAATCAAGGGGTTTATTCCCACTTCTGGGATACTTTTGGGAATCCCTCTTTATATGAAGAGAATAGTCTTTGGGGTTAGGCCCTTTCTGTTGTATCACAGAAGTGGTCATTCCCCACAGCCCTGCTTAAAATCGATCACCAAGTGCCAAGTGTGCTGCGTCTCGTGAACTTTTGCAGGCACTGTGCTGCGGTTGTTTTGCGGTTGTTTGCCGCTTCAACTGTGCAGCAGTGTATGGCGCTTTGCTTGTAAGGCTATTTCCTTGGCGCAGGCAAGACTGGTACTGTCGCGCCTTAAATGTTTGGTCACATACAGTACTCCTACTGATTCAGTCTAGCTTAGCTAAAAATCTCAAATTACACTTGCAAAAACGCCATAGCACACATGCTTTCGAAGTATGGGTTTCCCTGTCCCAATATAGCAGGCATGTTTTACAATGTTTTCCTGTTTGCTGACACTCTGTTCTATGCTTGCGAGTTTTTCAAAACGCGGGTTTTCACTTTCTTGGACGTGTGCATTGTCTAAACAATATGGAAGCTCGATTTGACTCATCCGAATGCATGCAATTGCATTTAACAAGACGATTGCAGCCGGAGACCATGATCAAAGATCAAAAGGTTCGTCAAACATGCCGCAGCAGTTGACGACCATTTGCCGTCAGAACAGTCGATTCCTTCGGCAGATTTGACGCTCTTTAACGGCATGTGAGCCGTGACTGGAACAACCGCTGTCTTCGTTTGCTAGAACCCCTCCCCCCCCGTCTTCGCCTAGGGGTTCCAAAAGGATTGCCCTTAAACTTAGACAATAAATTACTTCTTTCAGAGTGATTAGGCAAAAACACACACGGGAAGCCAAGCAGCCAAAAGAACCTAGGGAATGCCAACCAACGGGATGAATCTGTGCTTTGAGCCCCAAATTTTAGTTTGTGTTGTTCACTCTTTTTTTGTCTCAAGTCATTTTTTAGTTTTTGGACACCGGACAAAACACCACACAACTCGAGGTTTTTTGTCTTATGTAGAAGATAATGACTGTCAAAAAACAAAAACTGACGGACACCACAAAACTCGAGAAAGCCCAGCAAGCCACAATTGGGGTTAAAACCACACATTCTTCCTCAGATATTGTTTTCTGGCTTTTCTCGTGTTTTGTTTGCATTAGTTTCTGTTGCATCCATCCCAACAACTAGCACATGTGGCGGTTTTTTGTTTGGCTTCTGGCACGCACACAAACCAACAAGACGCTTTTTTTGCGCACGCCTTATATGCATTGCCTTGTGCTGAACATTTTCACCAGCGCAGTCAGCGACCTCAGTCTAGACTGAAAAAGTGGAATTTCCAACCAAATAGGAGTTTGATGATTCAGATAGCAGAATCTAAATCGAATTCAATAAGGACAGGGTTGAACCAGACTTTCGATTGTAAAGAAGGCAACAGCTGGCAAAAAAAGTTCTTGACTCAAGCCTCCTCATACGGCTCCGTATAAGGCTCTCCTTACAGGGCTCCTTTTTTAAAGCACCTTGTGCCTTTCAAGCTCATTGCCATGCTCCTTCTTAAGCTCCTTGCGCGGCTCCGCGCAAAGCTCTTTGTAGGTCTAGTTATGAACACCCTTATGAAGCTCCATTTAAAGGCGCCTTGTCCTTGCACAAATCCTTCTAAAGTTCCCTTTTAGGCCTCGCATGAAGCTTCTTAAAGAAGCTCCTTAAAGAAGCTCAAACAAGTCCTTTCAAGGCTCCTCAAGCATTCCCAATAGGGCGTTGGTTTCAAAATGTTGGGCAGAATTGAATGAACATATCAACCAGAATGTCCATTCACAACGAGAAATCGAAGGGGGAGTCTGTGCCAAACATGATTTGAATGTTAGCACCTTGTTTTGGTAGAATTTAATCAATAGATTTTCAGATTCTATATAATTTTGATTGAACAGAACTTAATACCGATGGAATCCGTTTACGATGTCTATTTTGAAAATGGCAAGGAGTTGACTTAAATTTGCAGGTGGGGCACAACGCGGGCAGAAATGATAAGTCAATTACCTGCAGGTGGGATATCTTTCAAGACACAGGAACCATGTGCTTTGGATTTGCAGATGGGACAGAACACAAACAGGAATGATATGATGATACGCAAAAGGCAGATCATGGAGGGGGCTCATCATATATATATATATATGTATATATATACACTCGTATGTATTTTCCCCATATGTTTATTCAAATAAATGTAAGATGTATGTATATATATATATACAGTGGTATTTGTGCTTTTTGCCGGATGTTTATTCAAGTAGTTGTTGCTTCTTCTTTTTTTTATCAAAGCCGTACGTCCGAGGCTCGGAAGTACTTCGAAGGCAATTGGGCCAGGACGGGGCTGCGGGTTTTCAGGGAAGCCTTAGGTTCGGAGTGACCCTTCAAACCAAACTAAACCGTTTTGTTGGGCGTGGGAAGCTGTGCTAAACAAAATGTTTGGTTTTTGGTTTGGATGGCCGTAGGCTTTTAGATTGTTTTAGATGCTTAGATGTTTGGAGGCTTCGACGGCATATCCCGAGAAGGTTCAGGTGGTGCATCGGCCGCGACTCTTTGTGCTGGAGCTGCAGGAAAGATCGTAAGTACGAGCAAAAGAAAGAGTTGAGTTGCCGTTTGAGTGTGTTGCATGGAAGAACACTTTTTTGAAGCATGTTGTGAGCCTGACTCACAATACAAGCAGCGCTATGCCTTCCATGTGCTTGCCATGAAACGATCTCACCACATTTTTTTGGGGAAAAGGTGGTCCTTGAAGTCACGTGTTGTTGTTTTTTGCAGTTTGGCATAACAGCTCGCTGCGGACAGTTGCTTTGGAAAAGTTAAACATCTTACAACCTCTGGATCCCAAGGATTTTCAACCCAGACATGGGTCACGCTTCTCGCGTGTTGTTCTTTCAACGAATGGCGAACCGCATGAACTATGGTTTGCAATCCACTCGAAACCCATGAAGGCTTCGTTTTTCGATGGAACCTTTGCTTAGTCTTCAGCGCCTAGTTCTTCCAGTTCCCATTGTAAATTGAAGGGTTTCCCTTGTGAAACCTAGAACGCATTTTTCCCTTGGTCATCTATAGGGTGCTTGGGAGCACTGGGTCTAGTTCTTGCAAGAAGGCTTCACTTCAGAACTTACGGCAAGGGTCCAACACCAAGGTGTGTCTTTTGAGGGAACTTGTTTGGAGGTTTCAAAGGGAAACCAAAGGGAAACCACCATTTGAGCCCTCAAGCCCGATTCGGGTAGATGAAGGTTAATGGTCCCAACCATTTTCCGGGCGCCGCCTGTTCAATTCTCAACCCATGGCTCTGAGTTGCTTGTCTCGAAAGGGTGTCTCGAAGGACAATCAGAAAAACAGATCGAGTGCCCAATTTATAGAAACACTTTCAGCAGTGCGCGCCCATCAATGTGTCCCCAGAAACTTCCCCAACCTCCCTGGGAGATCTTTGAAATGCACACCTCAAGCACGAGAACATGGCGCTTGCTTGGTCGTTAGGAGGAGACATTGCCTTGACAGGTCTGTAATGATCCATGGGTTACATTTGCCAAGCAGCATTACGACACTCCCAGTTGTTTAGTTTCACCCTGCTTCCCTTTTGGTTTGGCGGGCTTCCCACCAAAAGAGGGTCCAAAGATGAATGGTTCCGATTCTTTGTCTACCAGGGTTACTGGGCAATTGGGTCCTAGTAGATCTTGCTGGTGCTTCATGGCTTGTGTGTCCGATCAGCTGGTTGTGACATCCCAGCAACGCCTGAGGGTGTTTTTGCTTGAGGCTCGGCATCCTTGTTGGGGTGGCTTTAAAGGAGGAATCACAGGAAAACCTCCCATCATATTGAGACACACATGGCTGTGGCTCAAAAAACCGGTGCCAAAATGGAACCCTGGTGAGTGGAAACATGGACCAAAACCTGCGTAACCCCTCCTGTTTGATTTTGAGCCACACCCACATGCCTCTCACCGCAATCGCTTGAATATCTATGAAGAGGGGTGCGAGAAGGAAATTCGACTTGAACCAGACCTTGGCCCTCTTGCAAAGGAAGCCGAAAGGAAGTTGTTTCAACTCTGAACGACTGTGATTTCCATGCCAGCTGCTTGTTCGCGTGGCAACGGCGGGGGTTTACGAATTGGGCTTGGCCCGCAAATCTTTCAGCACGTGAGGAGCTGGACTCGTTTTCCCTCACACGGGGACAGCTGGATGCCTTCTTGAGCCAGTTGCCGAGAGAGAGCACGAGCACTTCCAGAGTTAGCGGGGGGGGGGGGGGGAAATTTTTGTAGCAACCGGCCGCTGGATACTTTGGACTCGCAGGAGGTTGCTGATATGCTGCAGGCAAGCATTCTTACAGAGATGTGCTTTTAAAAGCACCTTGTAGAGAATCAACTCTTGGGATTTCCCCTCGATTCCATGTTGAAAACATCGAGCGTAGGTTGCGGGAACACGCTAGCGAATTCCTCTACACAGACCGTGATCACATTTCGAGTCAAAAGATAAACCAGGCAAGTCGCAACTGCGCAAAGGGCCCAAGAATCCAAAAGTAGGTTGACCGCGACCCATGGACCGCCATTTGCTGAAATGAATATACATATATATATATATATATGTACGATTTTCCCCTGTCTGTTCTACTATTAATAGGAATTGATTTCACCGCTGGAAATATGTTCTCATGTTTTCCTGGGGGCTGAAATGCAAATGGAAGTGGAACAATTCAGAAGCAAGAATCGAATGGCAAAATTTGATGCCCTGGATATGCAATTCGAATCAACCTGTGCAAGCACGCAAAGATCAATCCAGGCTCCTGAGGGCATGAGGGCAAGTGCTCCTTTGACTAGGTTACTGGTCGGGCCCTTTTCGGAAGGGAAGCAGTCTAGCAGTTGCCCGCAACAGACCAGTAGAGAACCTTGGAATAGTTCTTCAACAAGTAGACAACCTCCCAGCATTGAACGCACCAGAGGATCCCTTTAAGAAACTGATGTCAAACCCGTCCTTAGGTTGCAGGCTTCCGAGCCTTAAGGTTTAAATGGAAGATATGTCTGCTGGTTCCCAGCTTATGATCAACTCTTGGTAGGAAAAAAACATGGCTCAGTTTTCTTGGGCCACTGAGAACTTCGGAGTCCTGAAGCCAGGAGAAAGCGCCATGAATTCGTTGAACAGCAGCCCAGGCCCGTGTTGCCTTCCGCAGAAAGAAGCCAAGCGCTGTTTAACAGGGCGTGAAAAAGTGAGGGTCGACAATTCCCTGGAGCTATCTTCTACCCTGTCAAAGGGGGGGGGGTTGGACCAACACTGCAACAGGGAGCATGTCTTAACTTGGTGGCTCCCAGCCATCCGTTCTTTAGCTTTTTAGGTTTTGGTGTTTAGTGGTAGTTTCCATTTAACCCCCTAAGAGTTAGTCACTTTTAGCAGGGGATCTGAGGGCAACTGTAACGGGAAGCACGTCTCCCCAGGAACATCCGCCATGCTAGCCCTTGCCGTTGGGCCAGCAGCTTCGACCCGTTTTGCAGGGAGGGAACGGGGTTTTATCGCCATTTCTCTTCGTCACCTTTGGACATCTATGGCTCAAAGGGTTTGGTTACAGGAAAATCTACTGGAGATGGCCCCAGCACAGCGTAAACAAGCTGTTTTCCTGTAGATTTTCCTTTAACCCAACCCTTTGAATGGCTTGATCAGCCCTTCGAATCATCATGCCTTTTGACCGGAAAACATAACTGGCCGAGGTGTGCAGACGCACATGTCGGACATGGCCATTCAGGAAATAGGCCTGGTGCCGAGGGAGCACGACTCGGGCTGATTGGCAAAGCTTCCCTTTGATGTCCTTGTGAAGCAATGTCAAGAAGATTACCCCTCCAACAAAAGCCACGACATGAATCTAAGGCCATGGTGGGCCAAATGAGACTGCTTGACCAACCCAGAGGGTACATCTGGGTAATGAGAGGGCGACATCTTTGTACCAACATGTGGGGTAGACGAGGAGGGGTTGGCCCGGACTTGAGTGTCGGTGATGGGGGGGGGGTGGGGGACGGTTCCGTTTGGATTGCGCTGCCCGTCAACTCAACATGTTGCTCCTATGTTTCTGGCTGATGTTGGTGTTGTTTGCTGATCTCTCGATCAGAGCCAGGTCACTTTTTACTTATCCGAATGACCAAGTTGCCTGGTTTCAAGCTTGGTAGCATCTGTCGCATTGAGCTTGGATGATCAGTTAAAAAGGATTTGAATCAAACCCTATGTTGAACCTTGGCCATGGTCTGGCCATGGTCTGGCCATGGTCCTGAAACGATTTCGCTTGAATCTGTTCCTTTTTGTGCTGATGTTCGTGAATTTCTATCAAACACTTGTCCTCCTTTTCTGAGAGGAGTTTCCGTGAACATCCATCAAAACGGACGAGTCCATTTCTTATGCAAACGCACTGGCAGCAAGTAGGCAGGGTTATTTTTGGACCCGATGTTCAGCTCTCCAAGGTATGTTTGTGATCAGCTCAAAGACTTTACTCAAATCCCAGGTTGAACCTCGACCACGGTTGTGGTTGGAGTAGGGATTGGGGAAGGGAGCACCGAAGTGGCAAAGTAGTCTAAGGAATGCCAGCTTTTGGAACGCGGTATCATTTCGCACAATCATGACATTGTGCGTGGCATTGATCTCAGTTGTTTCTCGATGCTTTGTCTTGCGTCCCAAATAGGGGGACCATGGGGACCCCCAAAATGTCCTTGTCCTTTTGGTTTCCCTTCCAACCAAGCCCCCAAAAAGATAATGTCAACAAACACATGTGTTACCAGCGCTCAAAGGGCGCCCTCACACACAAGAGCGCACACACACACACACACACACAAACACACACAAACACACACAAACACACACAAACACACACAAACAAACAAACAAACAAACAAACAAACAAACAAACAAACACACACACACACACACACACACACACACACACACACACACACACACACACACACACACACACACACACACACACACACACACACACACACACACACACACACACACACACACACACACACACACACACACACACACACACACACACATCGACATATACGTACATTGTGACACACACACAAAAAAAGAGTTCCACACACACACACACAGGAAAACCCTTAATGCAGCCAGCAGAGAACTAGAAAAGCGTCGCCGATTTTTCCCCGATGTTTTTTCTCCGAGGCGCAAATGTGGCGAAGGCCTTGGAGGAGTACTTCAGCGTTGAGGGCGAAGGGGCCGGCAAGGAGGCCCGCGGATACTGTTCTAGGGGTTGATTCCTTTTCCATTCTTTTCAACCATCGTTCTTTTCAATAACCGATCGCTGTTTCCCCAGGGTTTTTGGTGGTTTTCTGGAAAGATCCGGATCCCTGGAAAGAGTGGGGAAGCTACCCTTTGAACTGTGAGGGATTCCCTTTTGGGGATTCCCTGGGACCGGCCGGATCCCCTGATGAAGAACTCGGGTGTTACTCCAAGATCAACAGTACCAAATGGGGAAAGCTTCACAATGTGTCTCCTCTGTCCGCTTGGTTTCCTTTAGCCAACCAAAAGGGGGGGGCTCCCCAAAGGCGGCCGTAGCTACTTGTGACATTGTGGCTCCTTTTGGTTGCCAAATCCTTCCACCTTTGACCCTTCGGCCGGCAGGCCGTTTTTAGATGGTAGGTCAGCTGAAGAACGATATGCCACAAAGGGGGAAACCAGGATTCTGAAAACATACACCACATGTTGTGGAACGCACTCCCGAAAGAAAACTAAAAAAGGGATAGTTACTTGTTCTTTTGCCGGACATCGCTGTTTTCTTTGAACCAAATACTTGGGGGGGGGGGGTTGTTCCGGAATGTGTGGCAACCCATGTCCCCTTTTTGTGGCAGGAAGACTCCAACAATGGGATTGGAGCAATTTCTGCCCCCTGACTCCCCGCCCGCCCCCTTAAGGTAAGGGAAATTTTCAGGGATGGGTCTTGCGATTGTTTTGGGCTTCGAAGACGTCCTATGGCAGCCATGGAATTCTATGTTGGATTTTTTGGGAGGTTTCTCCAGCCGTAGCCTGGATCCAGGGGTGGGAGAGTAGGCTGGGAAGCGATCAAACGCTGGACCTTTGGTCGGGAAATCATGGCCCCTGGACTTGACACAACCCAGGTCCACTCAATAAGACTCCAGGCAAGCTTCTGTGAAAGCCCGCTCATCCAGGATCTCTGGTTTCTTCGTTTTGGCCCCGAGGTGTAACAAGCTTCTATAGCATCTGCATACCTTGAACACATCCCTTCTTGAATGAGTAAGAAAAACCAAGAAAGCCCTGGGATTTGTGAGACATGCCCCAGCAAATGCTCGACCCGTGGTTCCCGAGCTCGCAAATTCGAACCTGCCAGAGGGTTGTTTGGAGCTGGCTTGCGGGAACCCCAGCTAGATCCCCACCCCCTCACCTTGAATTAGGCCAGGGGAGGGGTGACCGCTGGAGTTCTGTTCATGGTTCCATGTTCTCTTTTCTTGGTGGTTCCCAGCTGTCCCCTTAGGTTTTTTAGGTTTCCAGTTGGTTCAGTGCTTGGGTTGCCATTTTTTCCTCCCCAAGTTCGTCACTTTTCGCACATGATCATAACACGGCCAGCCCAGTTTTAGAACGGGAGCTAGACCGCTGGACTTGGGTGCCTTCAGCCCAGGGCATGCGCCTGTATCTGCTGCGGGCCCTACAACCCCGGATCCTGGAGATCCGGCGTCTCTGGCGGAAGGCAGTGTGCGCATTGCGCGGTTCGCGCGGTTTTCGTGTTTCTCCCCCCCCCCCCCCGCCCTTGTTTTCTTCTGGGGGAGCACGTGGTCTGGAAAAATGGGCGCCTCTTCCGGTCAACGTTTGGTACCTTCCGTCTTTGCCCGTCACCAAAATGATGAAAGAACATATTTAGATTTAGGGCTCACCGAGCAAGTCTGAGCGCGTCGTTTCCCTCCGTGGGTTACATTATTTTCCCGTGATCTTGTGTGGAGGGTCCCGTTGATATTTAACCACCAATTAAATTCAGGGTGTCCCGTGTCTCCCGTGGCGACGGGAGGTCTCGGTTGAGATTTGTCTTACTTCCAGAGTTGGACTTCAAACTTGCTTCGTAAGGAATCAACTCAATATTTCGCCTATCAATTCCTGAAGGTTTGGGCACAGGACCATGACTTTTCCAGTCTGGTTTGAGACATCCCCCTCCCCCAGAAGCTTCCAACCGTGGAAGAAGGGCCTTTGGTTTCCCTAAGTGAGGCCGGAAAAAGTTGGCCATAAGGAGGCCGGGAAAAGCCTTCGCTCCAGAACTATGAACCAGCTGTCAGAGGATGGGACGCCAAAGGGGACGACACTCAATCAGCCATGCGTGATTTTTCCGTATAATTGAGGGGTATGCCTGGTGAACTTAAATGGCAACCGAAGATCTTAAAGAGAAACCAAAACCCATTGTGTGGACCCGTAAAGGGTTCTTCAGGGTGTGTCGAACGCCTGCTTCGTTCCCTTTCGGTGTTGTCAAGAACTTGATGGGATCAGTCTGGCACACTTGGTCGGATCCGAGCAATCGGAAAGATCTCCAATGCAACAGAGGGGGGCTGAAGATGCCCCCAGGCCAATTAACCTTGCAGATGATTGGCGGGGGGTACTTATTTTCCCCCCTTTCGCAAAAGCAAAGGCTCCATTGAGTCAAGCAGCTTGCACCCCTTTCCCATGAAGCAACCTCAACTGCTCCTTTTTTCTGAAAGGAACCAGGGACAAGGGTCAGCACTACAATCAAACGGCGGTTTCCCTCCGGCGAGCTGGATTTCTGGCGCTTCCCTCCCAAGGGACTTGGATAGGAATTTTGGGGGGTCCATTCAAACACCATCCATTTCGTGGGGGGCGTGTTAGTGTAACTGTTCCCAAGTAATGCTCACGTGAGGTTGCTTGTAACCCGGACTCGGACAAAGATGAAAATCTCACGATTGTGTTGATCGATTGCTGGACCCGGGGTTGCTTGAATACACAGATTCCACGGGGTTTTGTTCAGGGAATGCTGGAATTCCAAACTGAACTATCCGCTTCATTCCTACAAGGATTCCCATGTGGGTGTGTCTTCTTTAGGAACATAGGGATCTTTGACCGTGATCATTCATATTTTCTATCTGCGGCAGGTGATGTCTGATTTATTGTCAGTTGGTTTTCAGGGGAATGGTCATGAGTGCACATTCCACGTTGTTTTTTCTGCAGTGGCGGCCTGCCCGTGTGGTCCCCTTGGTTTTCAAACAGAACAACATGAGTTTTGACGAATCTCGGAAATTTGTTGGGTACAAGCCGACCTGGCCAGAACCTTAGGCCGTTTCCATGGGTGTTCCGCGTCTAGCGACCTCACACGACCTCACGGTTTATGTGGGGAATATCTCCCCAACCACCTTGTTTCAGGTTGGTGAAATATTATAATTCACCCAGAGAGCGAATGGGCTGCTTGGAAATGTCCGTGGTGAGGTGGACTTGGGTGCGCTGCACGGGCCGGGACTGGGCTGGGGAGCCGGGACGCCTACGGACCTTTTGCCCTCGGGAAGCCGGAGCTAAGATCGAAAAGGCGACTTTTGGGTTTGATTTGGACCCATGCCTCTAGGGGTTGATTCCTTTTCCATTCTTTTCAACCGTCGTTCTTTTCAAAAACCGATCGCTGTTTCCCCAGGGTTTTGGGTGGTTTTCTGGAAAGATCCGGATCTCTGGAAAGAATGGGAAGCTACCCCTAGAGTTTCTAGCAGGGAGCGAGTTTCTCAAAATGGTGGACCCCCTCATCGGCATTTAAGGGAAATGTTCGAGGACCCCCGATCTTGACGCATCTTCAGAGACATATTTTTGCCCCTCGGTTTCACAGGCAAACATTTTTTTTTGCCAAAAGTTTCTTTCGGTTTGCCGGGGACTTAAGAAACATCGCTCGAAGAGTGCTTCCGTGCTGAGAAGGGAACTTCAGAAGGGAAATGGCTGCGAAAAAAAGGGGGGCCTACCAACGCACAAAAGCTCAAAGCCGGGTTTCTAAGATTCTAAGAGACACAAAGACTTTCACAGAAATCAAACACCAGCATGTTCCCTTAAGCACCAACGTCATTTGGAATTTGTGTGTCCAATCGTCATGGAATCGGCTTACAGGATTCTGGAAGATGCATAGCGAGCTCGGGTGAGCTGGGCCCTGACTCATGGTGAAGGTTCTTTGGATATGTTGGGGTTTGTTTCATTGCCAGCTGATGGGTTGCAGAAGCCCGCATTCGGGTGCTCTTTGAACCAGACATAGAAGGAGCGAGATTTGTTTCCAGGCCCTTAGGGCAAGGAGTGGAAACAGAGCCGCCATAGCCGCTGGTTTCATTGCCAACTTGGGTGTCAAACCCTTGCAACAGGCTTGGGGCCTCGGGTGTTCCCCCTTCGTATTCAGGAGGAGTTGCTTTTTTGCTTGCGAACCTTTTTATCTTCAGGGCTTGCGAAGATCATTTCTTCACTCAAGCTGGAACGGCAACCGGGAAATGCAGATGGCATATCGCATGGTGCTTTCGATCGTGGTGGCAACCTGTGTGGTGTTTGTACACGGTGCCCTTGTCGCTGGGCTTCCCTTGTATTCCATGCCCAACAAATGCTCGAACCCTAAGGGCAGATTTGTCAAGCCATGGAGCCCGAAAGAGGCTTAAGTGACGAGCCTTGTCACGCAAGCCACGGCCGCCATCTCTGGTCTCTATGGAGATGTGGTTGGTGTCGTCGTCCCGTTGGTCAGATTGTCTCCGATTGGTTTGGTTTGGAGCGCCCTTACCACTGTGGTGTTTTCTCCTTTCCGGCCCTCCCGGCCTCCTACTTGCTTGGCCTGTTTTCTGGTCTGCTGCTTGCTGTGTCGGTTGGTACATCTTTGTGGGCGGCCATGTGTACATTCTGAAAGCAATGCCGTAGCTGGCATGCGCCAGGCCCGGTGGTCCCAGTTTGTGTAGACGTAATTATCATCCAGGTCTGCCTCTTCGCTCTTGCCGGGGGGTATTGCTAGCAGTGTTTCGAAGGTGGGTGACAGAAGCTGCTGTTTGCGGCCTGGGGCGGGCAGGCGTCTTGTGGAGGGGCGCGGGGAT